AACATTTACTGGTAGAAACTGAGGACTAAAAATGAGCTGAATGGTCCAGCTCATTGTATGATAGGGTATTGTAAGCACTAACAATTATATATATTTATATACATATATATAAAGTTCATATAAATGGTACTTAGAAGATAGCAACTATTTTCTTCTAATTGTTATGATTTCTTGTTTTGCTAAAATATTTGTGATTTAGTTTATTCAGCTAAGAAGGAAGAAGACAAGAGTTTTACACACACACACACACACACACACACCTTATTATATCTTAGGTTGGAGGAAATGGTTAAACACAGAGACTAAGAGTATATCTCTGGTACCCACCTTTACCCAATGCTAGAACATAGCTTCCATGAGAATGAGGGATTTTGTCTATCTGGTATACTGATGCATCTCAAGCACTTAAATACTATCTGGCTCAGCAAACATGGAATAATGCATATTTGGGTTAATACGTTGACTCTACTGCATGCTAGCCATTTGACTTTGTACATATCACTTTGTCTTCTGCCTCAGATTCTTTATTATCTCTACAAATAGGGATAATACTTATTTCATAGACTTATGAGGATTAAGTTAAGGAGTACATGTGGATGAATTTAGAACAGCTTCTGGAAAATATACATAAGCATAGCATAAATATAGCTGTAAGTAGGAGAGTGATGGGTACCAATTGTACCAAGTATGAGCTGTGTTGGGACATTCAGGAATAGAATAGAGTCTCTCTCATTAAAAAATACTTTGTTCTCCCTTATCACCTTCATAAACTCTGCAGTGGATGGGTCCCCTCCGAGAAAGGTGTGGCCCAAAGCCATTCTACTGTGGCAAGATGGTCCTTGTAAGGCACACAAAGGGAACTTTACCCTGCACAAGGAAAAGGGGAAGGAACCAGAATTTATTTCAGGGAAGATTTGCAGCCAGAATCCCAGCTATTTTCATCACAGAGATGATCTCATTTAAGCTTCATAGTAACTCTCAGTAATTTATTATTTTTTTCATGCCACATCTGGGAAAACAGGAGGTTCATAGTAACTTGATTTCTACCCAGATAAGTGTATTTCTTGTTATTAGTAGATGCCCAAGGGGCTTGCATTATAAAGGCTTCCTCCATATGTATAATGAAAGACCCTCATTAAATAATTATCAGATAAGCAGAAGCATTTGTCAAATGTCCAAATATTGGTGTTGCCCCAAAACTGTATTGTGACTTTTCACTATTAAACTTATACTTTTAGATGTTTTTTTCATTATTCAACTGAAGAATGATATCCGGTCCTGCCCATCACAAAGATCTCGTGATCTAACTTGTAAATTGTAAAATGCATATTTGTATTCTTGTTATTACTTGGTCTTGTTACAGAACTTTAATGGAAAGTGTTTGGATAGTGGAGCACAGCAATCAGTATGCAGAAAATCTCTCTCAGTTCACAGAGGAAAAATATGAGTTGCTATATGAGTAACTGTCACAGCACAGTTATTTTTTTCTTTTTTCTTTTTAGAGAGAGAGAGAGAGAAGAGAGAGAATTTTTTAATATTTATTTTTCAGTTTTTCAGTGGACACAACATTTTATTTTTTTTTAACTTTTATGTGGTGCTGAAGATAGAACCCAGAGCCCCACGCATGCCAGGTGAGCGCATTACCGCTTGAGCCACATCCCAGCTCCACTGAAAAGTTATTTAGCTGTATCTGTGTAAAAATTTCATCTTAAAATTTGGGTTTTAACAAGTTTATGGAACCATTTCTCTCATGATTGACAGGAGTATTCAGTTTGTCAAAGTCATGTCTGAGCATCATGGATAAATTTCTAGTTTTTTTGTGTTTTTGTTTTTCCTGTTAGAATGCCACAGAACTATGAATCACTATACTTTTTAATATTTCATTACTCTGTTAATAAATGTTTCAAAGCAAAGACATTTCAATCAGTATGCATATTTCCAAATAACACAAGTCAAAGAACTGCATGAAAAAGAATGACTTTTGTAAACTAGGTATAGTTTCACCAAAGTGATACAAAATTAAACAGTTTCACAGTTTAAGCAATAAGCAAAGATTTAAGTTTTACGTGTGAAACTTATAAATTCAATGTATATTATAAATCAATAATAAGAATAAAGGGAAGTCTATTAAGTTATATTATCATTCTTCAAAAGAAAGGACATTTTTTTCCCTCAAATAAATTGAGAAACATGACCATTTTCTCCTGCCCCACTCCACCAGAAAGCCCATTTTTTGTGAAATTTATTTAATTATACTTTATTATAGAAATGTAAGGTTTTTATTTCAATAATTATTTATGGAATTTAAATATTTAGTTTGTAATGCTATGTTTATTTCATTGGGAGATGAGATTTATTCCATAAAGGGTTTAGTAATTCAAATCAATGTAAAAAACATAATTAATATGCTCTGAGATAATGATACATTTTATGTATATATAGAATATATAGATATATAGATTCTGTAGTTCAGCTATTATGTTTGGTTATATGGAAAACAATATCTGCCATAAAATGTTAGGTGCTAGCTTCTTCCATAATGCAGTGTATTTAGATGGAACAATTGCTTAATCCACTGTCAACTAAAACATGCTGGTGATAAATGTCTAGTCATTTTCAGAAGATAACTAAGCTGTATGCCAGTACAATATCTAGGACTGAAGACGCAAACTTCTCAAGTAACCTCCAGAATGTGTACATAGATTAAATTTCTTGATTGTACTACAGGAAAATTGTAGAATGGAGAAATAATTAAGTTCTAGTCTCTGCTTTAGGTACCTAGCAATGTTGAAGAATGGTGCATCAAATACACCAAGAATACAGCAATAGGATGACATTATATATAGCATTTTTAAATAGTAACAATGTAATACTCTCATAAATATATGAAGTAAAATGATGTGAGATAAAGCTGGAAAAGAGGACTTGAGTTAATTTTTGGAGGGATTTTAATGTCAAGCTAAACAGTCTCACAAATTGCAATAGGTAAGAATAAGCCTCTGGAAACTTTTGTGTTGAAAACTGACACAGTGAGAAATGTGTATTTGGATACTTTTCCCACTATTTGTGTAAAATATTGTAGAAAAAACTGGAGGTAAGAGAATGATTGACAGGGTATTTCATTGGTCCTGGCGTTCAGTAAAGAGGGCTAAAGTTGTTTTGATTTGAATGCATGGAACAAGAAATTAGAGCAACTGGAGATATTTCCTAGATTTCAAGGTTGAAGTATAGAGGAAGAATGGTTGTGCTATTTTTGTTTGTATGTTTGTTTGAACTGGGTTTTGATCCTAGGGGCACTTTATCACTGAACTACATTCCCAGCCTTTTGATTATTGTTTATCTTGAAACAGGATCTCACCAAGTTGTTGAGGCTAGCCTGGAATTTGTGATCCTCCTTATAACACTCATGTGACATTTTAGAAGTTTTATTCTCCCAAGTTGCTAGGATTACAGGTGTGAGCCACCATGCCTGGCTGGTTGTACTATTTTTAAATGTAATGAATAGTTGGCAGGAGAAGCAAGTATGGAAGGCAAGGTGAGAAGTTTGATTTTGGTTTTTATATTATGGGTAGGGCTATAGATTGAAACCATGAAGATTTATTTTTTAGTCATACTGTATGTTTAAACAGATGAATAGGAATACTCTCCATAAAGTTACTCACAGGGGACCCAGCTTTCTCATCAGAACTACTGCAGCAGAGGAAAGAGTAAGATTGAAAAATATATAGGCATTTTACCAATTGAATCAGACCAGAAGTGACACACATCACTCTTGTTCATATCCATTGGCCTTTAGCCCCATGTGAGTGCAAAGGGGCTGAGAATTATGATCTCTTATAGGATATTGGTGAGCAATAATAATGCCCCTTATAGATGCATTGACTGTAGGATCAATCTTTCCTTAGCTCTGAGTAGTGTGTGTATGTATGAAAGGGAGAATTAAAGGGCAAGAGGAAAATGCTTTGTCTTAACTTTATGTGAAACTCCCCATTCTTCACTGAGACATATTAACCAAAGGAACTGTGGACTCACTAGGCTTTTCTACTCTTAAATATTATACTCTGAGTATAATTTTTCTGATGATGATATATGGGCTGCAAGAGGCTCACAACATAATGTACTCTTATAACACTCATGTGACATTTTAGAAGTTTTATATGTGGTATTATCAAATTCTTTATTCTGATTCTATTGCAACATGGAACATAGAGAAACTATTTGTATTTCTAAGTGTTTAAAAATATAATTGTGTAAAAGTACTTGAAAGTGTAACTCACTGTTAATCAGGAGTCTGTGATTTCATGATGAGAAAGTTTGGAATGAATTTAGTCACCAAAATCTTACCATTGGTACCTCCAAAGACAATCAAGTTATACTCATCATTTTTACAAAGTAATTGTGGAAAATCAGGGAAATATTCATTGAGCTCCATAGCAGTAAAGTATTCTCAGTGTTGTTAGATTGTTGGCTGATTTGCAAATACCAATCTAACTAGAGAAATAATGCTAAACACTTTTAAATGTTTACTTTGATAAGAAACTGAATGAATAAATGTTAGAAACAATTTACTATTAATATCTACCATATCAATGTAATGTCATCTTCTCAAAAGTGTTTCAGTTGGAATCAAAAGTTATACAGTCACTCCTATGTTCTAATCTCTAGCACATGAGGTTGTTAGGTTGCTATGTATAAATTCTTTGTTTTTAATTACTGGAAATCATGCACTACCATATGCAGTGTCCTTGAACCTGAAAGATGACTAGGGTGTTGAAATATAACTAAATGACAACATATAAATATATATTATTCATAAGCCTAAGTATTTATTATAGATAATATTCCTTGTAGAGATGTGATAAGTAATACGATTTTATTTATACTATTATAGGAAAATCTTTATTAAAATTAAGAAATTATAACTTAGTTGAACCTTATTTAATTTGAAATGTTGAGCATGAGTCCACTTTGAAAGAAGAGCCAACAGTTGAACATCACAATAAGAATTTATATGCCCATTTATTTGTTTCAATATGCAATTCATGACATAAAATTCACTATAAATATCTTTTCCTATTTCTACACACTCGCTAGAAAAAAACAACAAAAACCTATAATTTTGTAATCTAAGGCACACTTCTTCATAAGGGAAAATTTTAACATAGAAATCAAGTTAACAAGTCAGATTCTAAGATTGAGATGCTATTTTTTAAAAACTATAAGCTAAGTGCATTTAGAAATGGCATAATTCAGTATGGTAGTAGTTTATATGAATTAATATTTCTTCCAAAGATACCTGACTCACAGTCTGGGAAAAGCAGACAGCCTGTATGAATCTGACTTACAGCAAAGCATTTCATTCATGTCCAATACTGCATTTCCCACCAAAAAAAAAGTACATCACATGCTTAAAACCCTGCTAGAAGCATCCAATTACCCCCCAAAATAAGTTGCTATACAACACATAGTTTCCAGAAGTCTCTGATCTTTTAATTGAAGACATGACTAATGGAACACAATTTGCTTTTGAAATACCCTGCATAAAATATGACTGAATGGGGCTGGAGCTGTGGCTCAGTGGTAGAGCACTTGCCTAGTATGTGTGAGGCACTGGGTTCGAATCCTGGCACCACATACAATAAACAAATAAAATAAAGGTATAAAAAATATGACTGAAGTTTGCTGAAAGCCACTTAAACAGAACAAAGGACATATACATTTAATAAAAGCTTACTCCTGATAACACACAATAAAGCCTTCATGGACACAGATTGCTTTTATACTTTAAAATAACCTTTAGTATTACCAAGGACAACAGATTGTAGAATTTTCAAAAATATTTTGACTGAGTCAGGAGCAGTACTTTTGCACTTATTTTTAAAACTGCATCTTATTTCAGAAATCTAGTGCAAAAAGGGATTGCTTAACAAGGATACCTATAACGGGCTGTTATTCTAATGCTCATAATCAAAACTTGACTACTAGCTGTTTACCATTTACCAAGTTTCAAAATACCATTTTCTCCTTTGTTCTTAAACTCAGATCTTTACAATTTTGTTTTAAAACGACTTTTAAAAACTAAAGCTGTATAGCAAGAACGTATTAGTTTTAAAGACATCATCTTTTTATTCTGGAAACTTAATTGGTAGTAAATTTAAGATAATTCTTAACAGTTTTCTTGTACTGCTAACAAACAAGGGGCACAATCATACGTTCACTCTAGAAATGAAAAAGGCACTCTTAATTATTATAGGAAATCACTAGAATGTTTATACATAAAACATTGAGAACCATTGAGGTACACTGACCTCTAAAGGCGTAAGTAATTCAATGGTTCTCTGTTTAAAACCTCAGCTGCATTCCTCTTGCCATATGTATTGGATCCCACATTGGTAGTTGAGAGAATGGCACCAAGGTTGTGGCTGGAACGAACTAAAAAATTTGCCAGGCGTTGTGTTGCACATGTGGCAGTGTTGCATTTCCGTTTGTCCATCTGGTGATTGGTAATGCTGAACAAATATGAAAGGTTAGAGGCTTAGAATTGGGATTGGATACAGCCATGTGACCCCAAATACTCATACAGATGAAAAGAAAAGGAAATATTTTCACAGAAGTAGCTCAGTGTTTTGGTTTGCAAACATCTGGATGACAGATCCTTTTGATACCTTGAAGATGCAACAGAATCAATTTTTGACTAGGAAATAATACAGCCTCTTTCACTGTAGACAATGTTTCATTTTCCAGGATAATTCTTCCTTTGGAAATTCAGAATACATTTCTGATGAATGATGATGATGATGATGATATAGTGATGATAATAATGATAATAATAATAGTCTTTCTATTATATTCTTCTAAACCTTGTTGATAAACTTATTTTCTGACATATAAAAAGTACTCAGAATGTAAAATTTATATCTAACCCAGAATATATAAAAATTGAAATATATGAAAATAAATATGTGTATATTTACACATATATATCATTTTATATTTATATAATTTTTGTATATGTATAATTTTAATTTCTCAGATCTTTCCAACAAGAAGTAAGCAATATTAGCTAATTTTTGTTAAATTCCTTGAAATAATGAATCAGGAATGTCAAGAAAAAATATCAGAATGAAATTCTGCAATATACAAGATGGATAAGTTTTAATGATATTATGCTAAAGCGAAATAAACCAGTCACAGAAAAACAAATACTGCATGATTACACATATATGAGCTATCTAAAATACTCAAATTTGACAGAATGGGAAGTTGTACTCCATGTATGAATAACATATCAAAATATATACTACTGTCATGTATAAATAAAAAGAACAAGTAAAAAGAATAAAATACTCAAATTTGAGACTTAAACAATGGGATTGTGTTTACCAGAGACTGTGGGATGGGGAAATAGAGAGTTGCTAATCAATGGACATGAAGTCTCTATTAAGAGGACTAAGCTGGGGCTGAGACTGTGGCTCAGCGGTAGAACACTTGCCTGACATGTGTGAGGCACTGGGTTTGATTCTCAGCATGGCATATAAATAAATAAAATAAAAGTCTATCCACAACTAAAAAAATATTTTTAAAAATGAATAAGCTGTAGAGCAGTGTGTCTACAGTCAAAGATAATGCATTATCCACTAAAAAATTTAAGTGTCTTTACCACAGTAAAATAAAATGGAGAATTTCAGATACTATAAAGTTAGGTGTTATAAAGGGAAATCAATTGGTCACCTGTTCAGGCACTCTTTGCATTGTGGGAGTTCTATTCTTAGCACAAATACTTGAACATTTCTATCTTCTGGTCACTTAGATTTTATGCTTTCAATGATTTTAATGAAAGGGCTATGGTAAATGTTAAAAACAAAATCCTACCTGGCCCAACCTCTTAAAAGAGCCTGCCACTTCATGATAGCACTGTGGCTTGAGGACCAAGTCTTTATACTTGAGCCTTTGGTGGTACGTTCCAGATACAGACCATACACCAGTGTGCTTTCAAAGTGGTATTTTACTTACTGACTTATTGTAGTACTGAAGATTGAACCCAGGGACTTGCACATGTTGAGCTTTATCCCAGTGTTTCAAATTGGAATTTTAAATGGATACAGAACAATAAGATTGCTTTACTCATTTGGGAATCTTTAGGAAAATTATAGAAATATTTTAGTTTTTAACTCCATAGAAACCAAAGTGTTGCTAAAAATTTATATATAAGTAATAGTTATGAGGCCAAAAGCTCAATGTTCAGATGTGAATAAATATACATATTTTGGGTTAAATACAGTGGATTTATCTCAGTGTGTTTACTTTGTGAGGGGGAATATTTCATTATCTCTCTCTGGAGATAGCTTAAGTGTAAATTTTTTAAAGTTTCATGTGAAAAAAGAATTTAAAATTTTTTTACCACCTTATTATTTTCCAAATGTAGAAAATTCTTCAGACAGAATCAGGTGAACTAAATATTTATTGACTCTAAGTGTGTGCAGACAAAGCAATTATTCAGGCAAAGGAAATCCAGGCTGGGATCTATTTTTTTGGTCTATATCTTATTCACACTATTCTAATATTTTTTTGAAGGTATAACTTTGAACAATGTGCATTTCAAAAGGATAGCTTAATGCTATAAAAAGTTATAATGCTATTTTCATACATTGGACATTAAGTTCTAAATGATTTTTTTTTCTTGAAAAACAACAGGAATTGGAATTTGGCCCTAATACCTCCAACTAATAGATGTAAAGCAGTAGGGGAAATTATCAGTCACATTAGGAAATTCAAAGGGGCTATCTATCCCAAGATGTGTTTAGCCAGTGCTTGGAGTATGAAATACGGTTCACTAAATGCTGAGCTGGGCTTTGATAATCAGTTGGAAGGTCAGTAGTAGAATTTAAAATTATTCTAGGAAAAATGTTATCTTATTTGAATTACCTAGAAGGACCACTGTTCTCCATAAAACAAATAGTAAGAACTTTCATGTTTGTTTGCTTCAGAACTGTGAATTTTTTTTCCAAATATCCTGTTCAGCATGAACAAAACTCTACCCAAAACAGTCATTTGGTTGGAAAATTATGGCTGAAATGGTTAGTAAAAGGCATTGCACCTCCACATTCAGGCATTTTTTTCTCATTGACTACTTGGGAAAACATGACTTGTCTGTGTACCTAATTATTGAAACACTAAAACTACAGACCACTTATAGGCACATACACACCAAGAAATTCTTGACCATAAGAAAATTTAAACAGCAATGGCAATAAGCTAAACTACAGCTCTTAAATTGTGTATGTTTAAAGACATTTCAGTTTCAGGTTGTTTTTTTTTTTTTTAATTAACATTTATCTGTGGGGATCTGTGAGATTCTATTGGGAGAGTCTAGTGACTATAGCTTAGCACTGGGAAATTATATTTTTGACTACCCTCTGATTATTTGCCAGATAGATACTTACAATAACATGTAAAGGGAAAGTGTGTGATCCTTTGCCTTAGTCATGAGTAAGAAGTAAAGAAATGCCAGGCGTTGTGGCACACACCTGTAATCCAAGCAACTCAGGTGGCTGAGACAGGAGGATCTCAAGTTCAAAGCCAGTCTTAGCAATTTAGTGAGCCCCTAAACAATTTAGTGAGATTCTGTCTCAAAATGAAAAAACAAAAAGGTTGAGGATATTGCTCAGTGGTTGAGTACCCCTGGGTTCAATCCCTGGTACAAAAAATAAAAGTAACCATTTTCTGGTTTGTAAAGTCAGTTTATTGCTTCTTAATCCTATCTCATACCTGTACAAATGTTGCAAAAGTCTCAAATGAGATGATTGAATTTGATGAAGCAAATTACAGTGAATAATAAATATATATTAGCTTCATTTTTAAAAGGAGTTTAAAATTTGAGATATTTCTACAAAGGTTTTCTTAGCTTTTTATGAGATTTATAGGATGCTATATATTACTCAGGATGACTAATCATTCGTCCTTTAAAAAATGACCAAATATACTGATTTCAGGAAACACATTAAAAAGCAATTTGAAGAATGCTTTATAAGTATACCTAATTCAAAGTAAAAGACTGTGAGACCAGCATGATTTAATTTGATAATAAGTAATGTTATGAATTATTCTAATTCTGAATGAAATTCACCTCATAATAAGCACATATTCATAAAGGCATATTTGTAAAGGTACTTAGGAAATGTCTGTATCTAATGAAAGAAAAGATCAAGATATTAACACAAATACTAAGTAATACTGTTAATTTTCCTGTCATCATTCAATTGTTCTGCTTATCAGAAACTTCATGTCAGTTTTAAAGTTATTTTTATCCGTGAAAAACCTTGAATTTTTATCCATGAAAAACCTTGAAAATTACAGTCAGTTCTGAGAACATCCTGTAAACTAAATAAGCCCTGAAATGACAAAGAAAATCCTTTGATGATTCCTACTATTTATTATAAGTAGGTACAGTAGAAACCTTTATACATTGCAGTGAACCACCACCCAACAGAAAACATCTCAAAGAAAATAAAGACAAGATGATAATGTTTCTAATGAGAAAAGTTCAAATATGACTAAAGCACATTCTTTTTAAAGACAGTTTGAATTCTCCTTGGTCTTGAAGAGTGTATATGTTCATTCTTACAAGACTATATGGGCAAAACTGATTTAGGCACAAACAAATCCTCATGACATTATTTATGTCAGATGCATGAATTTGGACTCCAGAATCTTTTATATAAGGAAGAAAACCTAAGTTTTAAGGGTTTTCCATTCATAACTTGTAATTACTGCTAATCTTTTCACCTGACGTAGTTTTTACACTTCCTTAAAACTACCCTTTAGATGATATAACACCTTTAAATAGTAAGCCTTCCTAGGAAATCTTGATGCACAGGCTATATAATGAAAATATTTCAAGAATTATTAATCTACCTTTATAGCAGCTTAGAAGTAATCTCAAGAAGATTAACATTTTATAATTGTTTTATTAACAAAATAGCCAGCAGTATAGAATGAATCTCCAAATAGCAAATGGCTTTTTAACTAATTCCTCTTAAGTTTAACTTCTGAAAAACTTGAATTTGCCCCCTGATTATTTATATACACTTTAATTTCCAAAAGCAAATGTAAAAGTTTGGATATTTCCAAAGCCCTTTAAGGAAAAAAAGTCTATGTAAATATACACAACATTCTACTTGATATAAAATACATGCTTTACTTAATGTCTAGTTTGTTTCAATATCAGATTAATAGAGTAGAAATGACTACCTTTTAGTTTTTCCTGCTTCGTGTTCTGGCTTTGCCCCTCTAAGTTCCAACAGCATATTTCTTGATAAAACTGGAACTATCCATTCCTGTCTGTTAGAAGTTCCAGCAGAGAGATTTATCAGTCACTGACAATATTCTTTAAAGAACACAGAATTCAAGGAACAACTGAACGGCTTTAAGTACTTCTTGTAGCATAATTTCACCAAAAATCTGATGGCACAAGGGCTGTTAGTTATATAGCAGTGTTAAATACTAATTTTCCCACACTTTACAAAAGAAACAGGATTTTAAAGTTAGTTACTAACCTTTCAATGGGGGTAGCTTTCAGATGGTTTAATGCCACAAAGAGCACAAGGATCACTACTGGTAGCTTTAGGACACACATGGCTTCTTGAATTTTCTGAAAAGAATAATCTAGCAGTGAAATCAGGAAATTTCTTACAGTTGAGATTGATGTAATTTTAAATCATAGCCTAATTTTAAAATTAAATATTTTAAAACATAATTTAAAAAAAATAATTTAAAACATAAAAATATTTTAAAACTTAATAATTCTTATTGGTAAAATCCTTTAATACTCTTCAGTTTTCCAATATTTTTAAAATGTTCATTTTCCCAATTTTCTTCTCTAAACAATCTAATAATTTATATTTTAATAATCAAATTTTAGCTTTCCTTTGAAATAAACCATATATTTAACTTCAAATCTTCTTTACTAAATAATACTTCCCAGAAATAAGAAATTCCTTACCTTTTAATGCTTCAGTGTCAGCAATATCAGAAAATACCTTTGATAGCAAGAAAGCTGCATGAAAACAAGTCCAAACTTGCATTCACTAGAGTATTTGCCCCCTACTTGCTTACCAATAATCCAGCTCTTATATACCCTTCACACCTTTCTCAGCTCTGACATCAGGCAGCTCAGAGAGACTTTGTCATCAATTTCCATCCCTACATAGAAAGTTCCTCATAGACAGCAGAAGCAGATGGGTATTATTACATTAATACATCAGTAAATATTAACACAGCAGATACAGAGTGTCTCTGTGCAGTTAATGATGTGTAATATACAGCAGAAGTTTCAATTTGTCATCTTTGTAAAATGTAAGCAGATTTTCAAGAATTACATGTATGTCATAGTAAGAACTTAAAAAAAGAAATAATTAAGAATAACAGTAAATGTGCTTTTATGCAGAGGAGAGTCAGAGACAATGAGGAGATATAACTAAATCCAGATGACCCCTGTGGCTTAATCCCATGACATTCAGAAACATATTGAATAGAAGGGTGAGGTTTATTTTGTTTAAAAAGTATATAAAAACAAAAGTCATTTACAGTGAGGTGGGGGAGATTTAAGGCATAAAACAATGATTTTATATCTACAAATTCATATGTCAATATTTAAATAGAGATGCACATATATATATACACATACATATACATAAAAACATAAATATATATACACACACACAAATATATACATATACAAATACACACACATTCTCTCTCTCTCTCTCTCTCTCTCTCTCTCTCTCGCAGTTTTCAGGGACTTTTCCCATTAGTTAGTATACAGAAATATCACAGTTATTTTGAAGGAAGATATTTTTTCCCTTTTAACTTCTTAAGAAAATTATGAATGACTTGATTCAGCAGAATACTCTCTAGTTTGCCTTTTGAAATAATTTGTTATTTTTATTTTCACCAAATGTGCTTCCCTTTTTCTTGTGTTTCTTTTTAAAATTTTTTTGATTCTTTTTAATTTTACAGGACAGTGGAATATATTTTGACATATCTAATATACATGGAGTATAACTTCCCATTTTTGTAGTTGTACATGATGTGGAGTTTACTGGTCGTGTATTCATATATGAATATAGAAAAGTTATGTCCAATTCATTCTACTGTCTACCATGTACGACAACTAAAGGAAACTCAAACTGTCATTGAAACGGTGTATGTTTGTGTTATCTAAAAATGATGGAAGTTCTCCAAGTTGAAAAAAAATAGTAAGCTTATTGATTTCATGTACTTCTTTAAAGCTTAGTAACACCATTTGAGGGTGTTAGAAGAAATTTCAAGAGAAAGAGAGTAACTTGTTTCTAATACTTGTTTTAATATTCGATGATTCTGCAATTTTAATATTTCTGTGAAGTTTACTGATATTCCAAAAGGGAAGAAAATGAAATAAAGGTTTTGGAATGTAAATCATTTCCTATAATGTATATAACAGTTATATATAGTAGTTTAGAAATGATATAGAGGCCTAGACATATTAAATATTGTCCAATGTCAGACAACCAATTAATGCTAAATCCTGAACCAATTCTCAGATTTTCTTTCTCATGGTTGAGCATTCATTTAGTCCTAGATCCCTGCCTCTAATCTACCTATTTATTTATTTTACTTTCATAGCCCTTTTTCACTCTGAGATGTTAAGAGTGCCAAATGTTATGTTAAAAAATGAATTCTCCCTCACTCCCTAGGAAGTTAATATTATAAGAAAAATTTTTACAAAGGACCTGATATTTTTACTATGTGTCAGGCATAGTTATTTAATTGATATGTGATACCTCCTTCATCTTCACACCTCTAAGGTAGGCAAAATTTGCTCCAATTTATAGCTAGTAAAACTGAAAATTAGAGAATATAATTGGTTTGCTTAAGGTTACACAGCTACTGAAGGGTCAGAGTGAAGTTCAAATTCTCATCACCTATTCCAGGATGTTTATTTCTTTGTTAAAAAGGATCTCTATTCCCATATACTGAATTGCCAATTGCTTTCTCTAAATTAGGTATCTTATTACAACACCTTGAGTGATTTGGTTATAGCCAGATGTGGCCTTATGCTGATCTTGTATAATTTTTAGGAAGATCAATGCCTATCCTAATATCAAATTGCTTCCAGTTTTTACATACTTCCTATATTAATGGAAGTGAAGTTAGTTTATGTGGTCATTTAAATCCTCTTAACCTGGCATCTCCATTTCTGGATCAGGAGCTCCTTCCTACAGAACAAATACCATCATTGCTCATCTTGTGTCTCCTAGTTAGAGTGTGAAAAGGTTTTGGCAGCTTTGTCCTCCCATGGGAGCTTCTTAAAAATGCAAAACTCAGGCCCATCTCAGACCCACTGAATCAGAATGTGCATCTTTCCTTAGTATATACACTAAGATTGAGAAAAACTGTCCTGTAATGTATTACATTGATTCAATAAATGTTTGTTGAGGACTAACTCTGTGGCAGGGATTATTATAAGTAACAAAGATATGACAGTTAATCAAGCAAATTTCTGCTCTTGTAGCTTAGAGTCTGTGGAAGAAATAGAGTAAGCAAGTGAACAGGTAGATACGCAACTAAAATGTAAGTGCTATGAAAAGAAATAATATAGTGGTGTGAGAAAGAAAATGGTGGAATTTAAGTTGAATTCTCAAAGCAAAAGAGCAATCAAAGAAAGAGTAATGGAAATTGTTCAGAACCAGCAAAGAACATGTGTAAATTCATCTGAATAAAGGCATAAATGTTTAAAGATGCTGAAGATGTAAATAGGAGCCTGAAGGGGCAGGTCACTGAAGAAGGCTGACTTAAGAACTTTGGGATCTCTAGGTGACAGTCTGAAGCTACTGAAGGGTCTAAGCAGGATTGTGAAATGTTCTGCTTTGCATCTTTAAAACATCACTCTGACTACTGTGTGGAATGGACCAGAGGATGGAAAGAGTAAAACCAGGAAATCTATTAGGAGACTACATCAAGGTTCCAAATAAGAAATGATAAAGGAAGTCTCAGAGTCCGATGATGCCAGTAAAGTTAGAGAAGTAGTAAATGCATTCAAAATATATTCAGAATCATAAAATGATTTGACAGTGGAATAAAGGGGAAACATGAGAGAAGAGCAGATTAAACTGAGTGTCAGGATATAATCCACAATATAGAATAGTGGCCTTTATCATATCAAATTTTAAATAGCAAAACATTTTTGTATATCTTTTTAAAAATATTTTACTTTCTCATCATATTTGTATATGCTCACAGTTTTAAAAAGATTGCACAGTATTACAAGACTAATAATAAATTGCAATCTTTTTCCTCACTTCTGTCTACTGTCTACTTTTCCACATGTACTCAACTTTGTCTTGTCTGTTTTTCCATATTTCAAAAATATTTTCTTCTCTGGATGTTCTTGATTTTTCAATTTAGAATGTCATAAGCTGATAACTTGTCTTAGAGGATAAAGATTCAGCACTTGACACCATTTTCACTTTTCTTACCCCCTTCTAAAATACTTTAAACATCTTGGATTATACCCATATTAGGTGTATAATTTTTTTGATTTATATTTTAAACTTTTTGTAATGCCAACTTTTGAATGTGTGTAAAATTTCAACAATTTTAACACATGGTCTATCTTGCTTCCTCTTTATTCTTTTTTTTTTTTAATTTTTTTTATTGGTTGTTCAAAACATTATAAAGCTCTTGACATATCATATTTCATACATTAGATTCAAGTTGGTTATGAACTCCCAATTTTACCCCAAATACAGATTGCAGAATCACATCGGTTACACATCCACATTTTTACATAATGCCCTATTAGTCTATCCACTTTCTTCCCACCCTAGACTGGATTACATAGAACAAATCCTAGAGATCATATAATTTTCACACTGACTTTATTTAAAACAAACTCTAGCAAACATGTAATGTTACTTGTTTATGTTATAAAAGATAAGAATACCTTATATAACATAGCTATAGAACCATTACCACATCTAAAAATAAAATTTACTGTAGTTCCTTAATATCATTAAGTAATCCATTCTGCATTTACATTTTCTATGTCTGAACATTTTTAATTGGTTTGTTGAACTCAGGATCCTAATGAGACTACCTTTGGTTGCTCTGTCTCTTCTGACCCCTTTAATATAACTCTCTGTTCTTTTTTAGTATTTACCTTTGTTATATAAATAACTACGTCATTTATTATGTAGAATTCACATATCATGATTTTGCTGGTGGCATACATGTGATATCATTTAACGTGTTTCTTTTTCACTTTTATTTCTTCTCTATTGGTAGAGGCTTGTTCTAGAGGCTTGGTCCGATTCAGATTTCATTATTTTGGTAGGGATACGTCTCATGTGATGCTGTTTATTTCCTGTTGTGTCATATCAAGGGGCACATAATAGCTGTTTGAATCTCTTTTACGATGATTAAGAATGATCCAGCAGTTCAAATGGCAGCCAAGTTGTTCATTCTGAGTTCTCCATCAGCTTTTCACCTATTGGTTTTTACAGCCATTGGTGGTGATAACCTGGAATCATTGTTGTTGGGGGTTGCAAGATAATGATAGTCTAATTATATCAGTTGTTTGACATTTATTAGCTGAAATTATTCTATAAAAGAGAACATTCTACATTAACTATTCTATGACCTTTAGGTAGGTTTAAAGACAAGGTCATTATTTTTATCTTTCCCTTTATTTACGAGCTGTCAGAATGTAATCACTAATTGGTTCCTTCACATCCTCCAAAAATAATAAGGGGATTTTTGTCTAGTCTCATGAGCCTATCTATGTATTTTAGTAACATGATTTTTGAGCTCCTTTATCTTTTTGATATTCAGATTATCCTTTGTTGGACGAGTGTGAGTCCCATCTAGTTTCCCTTTGTATCTTTCTGACAGACCTCAGTACTCTGGCAGCCGCGTTGTTTTCTGGTGGGTGTGCATGCTTTTATGTTGGCATTAGTACTGTTCACTATGGAACCAAATAGGATACTATTGATTATGTTTGCTTTCTTATTCAACCTTTTGTTTTTTTTCTAATTAATATTTGCCTCCTTTTATTGTTTAGTTTTAGATCTTCAGATTATCTCAGAGAGTGGTAAAAC